TTTTTTTTTCGTAGAGATGGGGTCTCACTGTGTTGCCCAGGCTGGACTCGAACTCCTGGGCTCAAGCGATCTTCCCACTTCGGCCTCCCAAAGTCCTGGGATTGATTACAGGCATGAGCCACTGCACTAGGTCAGATATATATGTATATATTTTTTAAGACTGGGTTTCACTCTGTCACCCAGGCTGGACTGGAGGGTAGAAATGTGATTTTGACTCACTGCAACCTCTGCCTCCGGTGTTCAAGTGATTCTCATGCCCCAGCCTCCTGAGTAGTTGGGACTACAGACACATGCCACCATGACCGGCTACATTTTTTTTTTTTTTTTGCATTTTTAGTAGAGATGGTGTTAAGCCCTTGGCCAGGCTGGTCTCGAACTCCTGGTCTCAAGTGATCCGCTCGCCTTTGCCTCCCAAAGTGTTGAAATAACAGGTGTGAACCACCACACCTGGCCCTACATCACATACTCCTATAGCTCTCTTTCTAGATGAAAAACTGAGTAGAGAAAAGGAAAAATTAAAACTATTGAAATTAAAAAGGTTATTAATAAAGAGAAATGAACTACTGATACATGCTACCACATGGATGAAACTCAAAGACCTTGTGCTCAACGAACGAGGCCTGGCACAAGTAGAATGGCATTTATCTGATATATGTAGAAAAGGCTAATCTGTAGAGACAGATCCTAAATTAGCAGTTGTCTGGAGCAGGGGGTAGGAGTGGGGATGATGAAATATACTAAAACTGATTTATAGTGTTGTTTGCACAACTTTGTAAATTTACTAAAAACCACTGACATGGGTGAAGTATATATAATGTGTAAAATAGTCCTCCATAAAGTTGTAAAATAAAGACATGCAATTAAATTCTGCAAATATAACATTTACTAAGCAGCCATGATCCACTTTACAGGAATTTCTCCAGTAACTAACAGCTCATTCATTTGTTCACCTGAGCTCATATTTGTTGAGCACCTATTATGTGCCAGGTACCATGACAGGATAAGGGTTCCGGGGGTGAATCTGATCAAGTGTTTCTGCCTTAATGGAGAACATGGGCTAGCAAGTGTAGAAGGCTGGGCTAGGAGAGGTGAAGGTGCAGATGAGAAAGCCAGCAATGACAAGAGAGTTTATTTGGGGCTGCCGCAGGGTGGACGGTGCTGGTAGAGCCCAGAGGAAGCACTCTCCACACAGACCTGGCAGGTACTTGAGAAGGTTCCCAGAAGAGAAGGTTCTGTGTTTGAGGCTGGGACCTGAAGGATGGGGGGTCTTTAGCAGGTGAAATGGCTGGGGAGTGGGGCAGGAAGGGTAAAAGTCATTTGCTCATTCATTCCTTAATTCTCTTATTTATTCAGTCAGCAACTGTTCACTGACAGCAGTTATGCCCATTTTCCGGATGAGGAAATAGAGCCTCAGAGAGGTAAAGTGACTTGCTAGAGCACAGATATAAACCTTAGCCAATCTCTTGTCTCAAAAGCCCACCTTTTTCCACTCTCCCCTCTTGCCTCCAAAAAGAGTCTGGACAGGTTAGACACACCACTGTGACCTTGACGGCCAGGGAACAGTACCCTGCCAAAACCAAAAACTAAATTATCCTTGTTTAATGAGAGGAGGCTGGCATGTCCCTCAGGGATGTTCCTTTGTCTGTTGGAACCCTCCCCCTGCCTTGAGGACCCACCTTTAGCCCCCTCTGGATCTTGAATGGGGGAGCCAGCCTGTGAGTGTCCACGGCTAAGGGGAGACCACTGAATTCATTGTCTGGGCCAGGGAGGATCTACCATTGGAAAGGGAATGGGACCAGAATTCTAGACCAGGCTTTGCTATCAATTATTCGGGTGACCTGGGTTAGTCCTTACCTCTGTGGTCCTCAGTTTTCTGGTCCCTAAAATGAGAGTATTGGGCTGGCTACATCCTGAGCTACAGGGCTTCTGGCCTCAGAAGCCCCCAGATTGACATGGGCTGGAAGTAGGGTGACCAACTCATTATGATTTGCTCGTTCTGATTTACTTTCCAGGTTCTAGCATCAAGAGAAACCTCCTCAGTTCCAGATAAATTGGGACAGTTGATCACCCTAGCTGGAGGACTGTGAGGTTAATCTTGCCTCTCATTTTACCCACAAAGAGCAAGACACACATCATCTTGCCTTTACTCCTATGTGGCCACAGAACGATTTTCTAGCCATTTGGTTTGTACATATCATGTTTCTAGGGCTCTGCTGAAAACTCTCTCAGGTCCAGCTACCACTTCCCCCACTTCCTTCAGATCTTCTGGCCTCTGCTTGGTCATCTCCTTTCCCCGCTGTGCACCCAATCCCATGCCTCGCGATGGTCTTTTTTGGTTGTTTCCATCAGCTCCCTTGGAACCCTTTTAGCTCTTTCCTCTGCATTTAATGCAGGATCTGTGCCAAAGCAGGTGTTCCACAAGTGATCATGGAAAGTCTGAATATCTACAGGGCCCAGGGAAGGGGTGCCCCCACCCCCCAGGAGGGCTTTGCACCCCAATTCCAGGGCAACTTTGTTAGCAGGACAGATCCTTCCCGGAAAAGGTTGCAGGGAGCCATTCCCCAGGTGTGACTTCTTAACCCTTTCTCTTCCACGGGACCACTCAGGCTTCGGGTGGAGCCTGTGTACCCTTTAAAAAAGGCACTAGGATTACAATGAAATATCATTTTACGCCGGGCGCGGTGGCTCACGCCTGTAATCCTAGCACTTTGGGAGGCCAAGGTGGGTGGATCACCTGAGGTCAGGAGTTCAAGACCAGCCTGGCCATCATGGTGAAACTCCATATTTAAAAGAAAAAAAAAAAAGAAAAAGGAAAATCATTTTACTAAGAAATAGATGTCAGAGTACTAAATGTTTGTCATATAGTAACATGTTCTCCTTTATTAATCCATTGAATAAGATTTAGTGGTGGGTCTAACATGACTTTAACTTCACAGTTCTGGAAGCTTAGATGTTATCTTGAGATGTTTACAGTAACGGTAAGCGTGTTATGTAAGTATCTGTGATTTCTACTAGTGACAAAATCACGGGAACATCTACTTGCTGCCTGCATTCATAATCAAAGGATATGTTAAAAACCATTTAGAGATTAGTGAGGATAAAGATAGAACTTTTGTCTACCCCTGTGTCACGGACCCCCCAGAATCCTATCCTCAGTCCTCTTGGGGGTCCATGAACCTCTGCTTCAAGGAAAGGGGATTTGATTCTTTAGGTTAGGTAAACAAGAACATCATCAAGAGATGAGGGAACGAAGAGTAAAGGGCAGTGTCCAGATTGGGCTGGGTTAAGCAGAGAAAGGTTTCTAGAAGGGTGAGTTTCAGAGCTGTGTGTTTAAGGTGAGTCTGTGTTAGCAGGAAGCAAGAAACTGTGGTTGAGGGAAAGAAATATGAGGAAGGTTTGTTCTGTGGCTGAATCAAAAACACAGCAGACTAACATCACAGCCGCATCACTCCAGGGCAAGCCAGTGTCTCCTTTGTCACCAAGAACACCAAGGCATTGTCCATGTAAGACAGGGTGCCTGTCCTCAAGCTTACATACAAAGAGACAGAACAAACACAAAAGTTAATAACAAAACAAAAATTAAACTACAATTTAAAAAATTGCAGTCGGAAGAATCTGGAACATGCCACACATCTGGTTAAGTGCATACAATGCAAGCCACAGGAGTTCAAAGGTGGGGGTCACCTCCCCTCTGAGGTTTGTGGTGAGGACCAAATGCAGAAAAGGACACCAGGCCAGCATTGTGGAAGGCCGGTTAGAGCATGCACTTTGGATCATTGTGGCTACTTAACGACTTAGTGATCTTCTCTGTAAAATGGGGATGATGAATAAGTATGGCCCCTGACATATACTAATGTTTGCAACATGGTTCAGGAGACACCAGAGACTGGAGAACTTGGTTTTTAAGGTGGTAGGTGTGAAAACATTTGAATGAATGAATGAATGAACGAATGGGTCCTTGGGTTGCCTCGGTCTGTCCCAGGCTGCCCCCTAAGCCCCAGGTCTGCGAAATGAATCCCCAGCTCTCCGGTCAGCTTCATCTCAGCGTGTGGGTGTGGGTGGTGGGGAGGTGCTCAGCGGCTCAGCGGAGACAAGGGCCAGGCCGAGCTTGTGGGTGTCATCCCAGGAGGGTCTTGCTTAGCCTCCCCTACCCCCACTCTGCTCGGCGCCTCAGTGGGTGGGGCAGGGGCGAGGGGGCAACCAGAGACCTTGGCAGTGCCCGGGCAGATCTCGGGAGGACGAGGCCCGCAGCTAGCGTCCGAGGAGCCCACCGCGTGGGGGACGTGCCGGCCTAGGCGCCGCCTTATCCAGGGAAGGTCGATCTGGGCCGACCCAGGCTGGAGTGGGGGTGGGGTACCGGTGCATCTTCGGATACTGTGGTCCCCCAGCCCTTGCAGCCGCGGTCGCCCGCATGCGGGGGAATTCGGGGCCAGGGGCATTGGGGGCGAGGAGGACAGAAAAACGGAGCCCTCTTGGCAGACAACGTGGGAGCGGAGCGCCCTAAAAAGAGGAAAACGAGCGTTGCCGAGGCTGCCGGCCCTTTAAGAGGCCCGGCTGGCTCTGCGGCGGTTCCAGCTAACCTGGTCCCTGGTGCAGCTCTGCGGTCCCGGTCCCCCGGCAGAGAATCTGCACTCGGCCGGGAGGCAGGACCAGGCTCAGGAGAGGGCGTGCTCCCGCCGAGGAGCTGGGCGGAGTCTACGCTGCAGAGAAAGCGGGGAAACCCAGGGTGGGCGGAGCCAAGGGTTTGTGGGCGGGGTCCGGCGCTGCGGGCCTCGTGGGGCGGAGCCTCGGGCTCCGGGAACGCCGCAGAGGGAGGAGGGGTGGGCGGGGCAGCGGCGGGGGCGGGGCCAGTGTCTGCAGTGGGCGGGGCCCGCCGCAGAGAGGGTAGTGCCGGCCGAGAGTCCTCTGCGTGCGGCTGCCGCGGCGCCTCCACAGCGTCTCTGACAGCCCGGGCGGTGCGACCCGCGACCCTTCTGGCCCCGCGCAGCCACCGCGGCCTCCATCGCGTCCCGAGGAGCGGCTGAGTGCCCTCGCTCGCCTCGGCGCCCGCCTCTGGGGCCATCCGTCCTGCCGTCGCTGCGGAGGCCGCATCTGGCTCGCATCTGGAACCGCCCGGCCGGCAGCGCTGGAGCCCGCGCCCACCCTGGCCCGGCCTCGCCGGGAGCCCTGCCCGGAGCTGGAGCCGCACCTGGAGCCACGGGCCCGGGGCCTTGAGCCGCGCAGCCGGCGCATGGTGAACTCGCTGCTGTTCGGGGAGATGGCCTTGGCCTTCGGCTGCCCGCCGGGAGGCGGCGGCGGGGGCTGCCCCGGCGGGGGTGGCGGCGGCGGCGGCGGGGCCGGGCCGGGTCCGTCGCCGGTGACGGCGGCGCTGCGGGACGACCTGGGCTCCAACATCCACCTCCTGAAGGGGCTCAACGTGCGCTTCCGCTGCTTCCTGGCCAAGGTGCACGAACTGGAGCGGCGCAACCGGCTGCTGGAGAAGCAGCTGGAGCAGCAGCAGAGCGAGCGCGAGCGGCGGCTGCGCTACAAGACCTTCTCCCGCGAGCAGGCCGTGCAGACCGGGCCCGAGCTGTTGCGGCCCCCAGCGCCCGGCGGCGGGCACGGCCTCGGCAGCGGCGCGGCGGCGGGCGCCAACGCCAATGCCGTGGCCCTGGGCGGCCTGCCCCCCGGCGGCGGCTCGCACCCGCAGCACTACGGTCGCCTGCCCGGTACCATCTGGAGCTACACGCAGGTGCGGCGCACGGGCGGCGGCGGCGTGGAGACAGTGCAGGGCCCCGGCGTGTCGTGGGTGCACCCCGACGGCGTGGGCGTGCAGATCGACACCATCACGCCGGAGATCCGTGCGCTCTACAACGTGCTGGCCAAGGTGAAGCGCGAGCGCGACGAGTACAAGCGGAGGTGAGTGACCGCCCCTCCCCCGCCGCCCTGGGAGGGGGCGCCCAGGTCCAGCCTGCCAAGGAATGCGTGCGCGGGAGGGGCTGGGGGGGGGGCAGCTGGTCCTGGCAGGTGGGCTGGAAGCTGTGTTTGCAGAGCGCTCTACGCACGCCAAGAAGGCCCAGTTATCTAGATCCCAGGATGGGGGTGGGCGCTGGCCACCGTGGGGGCCACCTCATCGCTGTCACTGGTCAGGCACGTTATTTTCGAGGTGACATAATAACTATCTGTGTTTTAATGTGGTCTCATTTAATTCTCAGCACAATACAGCGGGTAAGGCAGTCTATCCTCATCTTGCAGATGAGGAAACCGAGGTGCAGAAATGCAAAGTGACTTGCCTAAGGTGGATCGGCAAGTAAGTGGTGAAACCAGGATTTCAGCCAGAGATTTTAACCACTGCTGGCTAGTCTGTCTCCTAGCATAAGTATTTTTCCCAAGGATGTAGGAAGTAGGCCCCCCTCCCTCAGCAGATGAAAAGAAAAACTCTAACCAACCCACTGCCTTTTTTTTTCTTGAATTAAATGAGATCATGTGTTTGAAAATGGATGGATCTGCCCCTACCCCCTGGGGCCAGTGTCTGCCGTATTGCTCCAGCTCTGCAAGGTCCAGCTTGCTGGGTTGGATAACAACTACAGCAGACTGCTCACAAGCTTTTATAAAATACCTCCTTTCATCCCTCTTCTCCCCACTCCTTGAGTCTCATGGTTTATTGAGCCCTAACAAACTCAGCCTTAAAAGCCCCAAGGAGAAGATAACGTTGGGGTGGAGACTAGACACTGAATGGACTGACACCACCATTTCTGGCTAGAACTGGGGTCCAGACTCTCTGCAGGACCGACCACTGCATTCCTGCCCAGACCAGATTCCCCAACTGGGGAGCTGTCACTGCTTCTTGCCTGCAGCCTGGCTGACAATACTGTCTACTTGGCTTTCTGATAGGAAGAGATGGGTCTCCTATCCTCCTCCTCTTCCAATAAGAGGAGAGGGGTCTGTCTGTGGCATCTCAGGCCTGGCTAGGGGAGGGGCCCTCTGGCTCTGGCAGCCACTGTTCCAGGCAGGGCAGCCTTCCACTCAGAGCTGTTGCTCTGAACTGCAGGGCTTGGAGGATGTACTAAGAAGGACCCTTCCTTCCATCTCTAAAGGTCTGCCCAGGGACCTGGGCATAGGTCTCCTGGGGTTCCTTCCTTATTCTCCCATTGAGCAGGCTAGCAACTGGATTGGATTCAAATGCCAGCCTTATACCTGCTAGTGAGATTATCAAACCACTTGAAAGCCTGTTTGCTCATCAGAGAAATGGGAATAATAAAATCTGCCCACAGTTGCTGGAGGGGAGAGCAAGATCATGATGCTCTTTGGGAGGTATAAAGTAATCAAGCTGATGTTATTTAAGGTGATAGGCACTTTGTCAAGCTAGCAGGGAGTAGACATGCTGAGGGTTCTCAAGCTCTCTCATGCAGGGCCTTGCTTCCTGGGGTAGATCTTACATGCCACTGGGAGATGGGCTTCTCTCCTGGGTTACTTCTCTCTCTGGAGGACTTGAGAATGGCCCGCCTAGTGTCTTGCCACAGGGAGACTACCTTTCGGACCCTCATTGTCAATGTCATTGGGGCAGGCTAGAGAAACAGGCAGTTGCTCTCGATGATGAAACTGGGGAGGGATGGGCCGGGCCCTCTTGTCTGCCACTGTTGATCATGTCGTCATGCCTTAGGCTTGTGTTGTGTTTGTTTTATTGTGTGTGCGCTTTTTGGACCTGGCTACTAAGGTGATGGAAAAACCGTGCCCAGTCTTGGAGGGAGATGGGTTGGCATTGAGCAATGATCTATTCAAGTTGCACCCAGGGCGTGGGGTGTGATGTCAGCTCCTGGCGCTGGCCTGGAATGAGACAGCGCTGCTGGGACAGGTGGAGTGCGGGCGTCTCTCTTCCCGCCCTTCTGGGATGCCTGCACACCTCTTCCTCCATTTTTTTCTGAAGTTAACTCAAGACTCATGTTGAATTTTTCCAAAGCAGGTATACTCCTTTCCTGGGGCCTCAGTTTCCCTGCTTGTGAAGTGAGGTGGGTGGGCTAGAATTGTGCTCCTTGAAACCCCAGGCTTTCTTAGAGATGCTTTAGGGGCTCCTTTAATATCTAATAAAAATTATCATTGAAAAGTATATTTAGATGTTAATCAGTGACAAAAATGTGCTCACTCACTTTTAAGTTCTTAATACTAATTCACTGGGTTCCGCTAACACGCTAACTTGTTAGTAGTATGTGTCGGGTATCTTCTAACAATTTTCTTTGGAGAAGACGGCTGACATTTGATAACCGTTTTTTAAAAAAGTTGAAAAACCACTGGGCTAGATGATCTCAAAGGGTCTTCCCAGCCTTGACAATAGGCAAATCTGAGTTTGAGCTCCCAGCTCGCTTCTGATGCCCTGACCATAACAGAAGTCACTGTTTAAAGGATGAGACCAAGATGTTTGCCTGGACTGCTGTGGCCACGAGGGGCTTTAAATCATCCCAGGATGTCTGTCCCAGAACTCCAAGCAGTGATGTCCAGAAGGAACCTAACCCAGAAAGGAAAGATTCCAGGGTTTCCCTTGGTTCACCTGAGGAACCTGCAGCTCCCGAGACCCCCACTTGCTTCCCTAAAGGGCAACTTGGGATGCCAGACTCAGCTTTCTTTAAGCTGGAGGCTTGTTGATTTCCACCCCCATGATTTGTGGCCACATCCACACACTACCACCTGTGCTATTACTTACATAAAATGTTTTAACAACTTCATTGAGGTACAAGTTGCATATCACAAAACCCACCCATTTTAAGTGTACAAGTGAAAGATTAGTAAATTTACCGAGTCATGCAGTCATTACCACAATCCCGTTTTAGAGCATTGCATCACCCTCAAAAAGATCCTTCGTGTCCATTTACAGAAAATTCCCATTCCCACCCAGCCCAGGTAATCATTGACCTGCTCTCCGGACATTTCATAGAAAGAGAATCAGACACTCTGTAGTCTTTTGTGTTTGGCTTTTTTCACTTGGATCATGTTTTTTTGAAGTTCATTCATGTTGTAGCATGTATTGGTAGGATGTTCCTTTTTATAGCTGAAAATATTCCACTGTATGTATTGACCATATTTTGTTTATGAATCCACCCAGATATTCAATATATTTTAAACTTCAAACGTCAACTGTAGACCTCCTAGCATCATCTCATGTGCCATCAGTGGTCCATGAACTGTGCTTTGGAAACACCAACCCAAACCCAGAGCTCCTGACCTGGGGTGTTTGGGCCCTGGCCCCGGTCACCACTGCTTTGGTTTCTCCTTGGCCCAACCAGGTCTTTACCATGTGGGAAATGTGGTTGCTGAAGCCGCAACAAAGACAAGGTTGTCAAGCATTGATTTGGAAACCAAAACAAACATCTCTACTCTGTCACCACCCAGAGCCACCAAAATATCCTGTTCTGACTTTGCAAGCTGGGGGCTTTTCCCTGGAGATTCCCACTGAATTTATCTGAACTCAACAGTGGAGGGAGACCTTGACTTTAGGTCCAGCTCTCCCACTAGGTGCTGTGTGACCTCTGGCCAATATGTGTGTGACCTCTGAGGCCAATTGCTGCCCTCTCTGGGCCTCAGATCCTCCACCTTTGCACGCGGGAGTTCCTGTAGGTGATCTCCGTCAGCTCGCTCTCTGCATTAGATCAGTGATTCCAAGGGTCCTGCGTTGTGGCTGATCTTTCTGCCTTCGGAGACCACAGTGTGTTCACTGAAGCCGTTCTCTCTTCCGGGCCTCCGCTTCCCTCTTCTGTCTCTGCCCCAGATGACTAGGGTCCCGGCTCCACTGCCCATCCCATCCCCAGGCTGAACTGCTTCAACTGTGTCCCCTCTCTTCATTGGCTCCAAAGGAAGGAAGCAGGAAGGCTTTGAGGTTGTCAGGAAAAAAGGTCCCTTCAGCCCTGCAGCAGCGGCAAAGTTGCCATGGGCTGGTAGAGGAAGTTGCCTGGCGCTGGTAGCGCTGGTCTAGCTGCCTTTCAGGCAGGGCGACTCTTTTGGGGGTCTGGTGCCCCTGTCCAGAAGCCCCTCCAGCCATCCTTGCCCCCTCAGGGGCAGTGTGATTTGCAGCTACCTGGCCTTGTTTCTTCCCATACAAGTGGCTGAGTATATGAACCCCCCCGCCCCGCCCTTGAAGTCAGGTTGGAGGCTAGGTTTCTTTTTCCCTGGTGCCTGGGGTGATTGGAGGGGGGTTTGGGAGCCTGGAGAGACCACTGTCATCATTCAGCCTGGTGGCTTTCAGGTGGGCTTTTTAGAGCCCTGGAATCCATAGCAGGGCGCCTTGGGAGACCTGGGGGACAGTGGGAGGCTGAGCACCTGGGATTTAACCCACATCGCCCACCGTAGCTCCATACCTCTCTGACATCCGGATTGGCAGTCTGAAAAAGATTTCATTTGAAAAAGCGTTCTGCTGTTTTAAAAAGAAAGAAATCGCTGATTCCACTGAGTACTTTCATTTTAAAGGTGGGGAAACCAAGGCCCAGAGGGGGCTGGCCGTCAGTGCTGAGCTGGGCAGACCTTCCATCTGCCGTGCAGAGCTGGCCTCCCCGCCTCGACTCAATGCCAGCATCATTTGCCCGCAGTTGGGGCTTTGTTATGTTCCTTCCACCTTTTTGTGTGTCTGTTTTAAACATTTTTTTAAAAAGCCACTTTCTGGGATGGGAGGGACTTTTGTCACAGCTATTTCTGACTGTGAGCGGAAGGGGCTGGGCTGTCGGCCAGAATGGAGGACTCCAAAAAGGGATGGTGGGTGGGTCAGCTGGAGTGTCCCATGCCCGTTCCCGTCACACCCCAGGGGGGCCCTCAAGCAGGTGGGTGCTGGCCCCTGAATGTCCCAAAGCCTGAAGGCTGCCCTGGAATGGAAAACTGTCTGAGGGCTTTGTTCCCTGCCACTCCCATTGACACTTTTGCTATTTCCGAAGCTTCCA